TCACCGGGTTCGGGGCCATGTCATCACCCACCACAGAGGGGTCACCTGAACCGCCCGTCGGCGGAGCAAACGGACGAGGACGATGTGGTACAGGTCCTCCATCACGTCGAACTTCTCCCAGGTTCCCAGGTCATCAGCAGGTAGAGAAAGGCGGGCATCATCACCATCAGCAGGTTGAGGACGATGTCGTCGATGTACTGCAGGTCGAGCAAGTCCTGGTTCTTCAGCAGGTAGACGGCGAGGTCGGGACACGGGCCCGCACGGGTTGTGCCTGGAGCTCGAGGAGGCACCTTCTTTCATTGCAGCCATGGTTTCTTCACGATCTCGAAGACGTTGCTCAATATTCCGACGTACTGCCTCCACCAACGGCTCATCCACTTGTTCCCCAAGGACTGATGCCCATATGTTGCCCTCCAGGTCCCTCGCAGCTGCCCAGTCAACTTCACTGTCACCAGGAGGACATGTGCGGAGGACCCTCCGAAGTGCGAACTGCAACCAAAATTTCATCTCCATGATGTGGTCCTGCCGGGCAAGTAGGCGACGAGCAATTTCTCTGGATGTACCTGCATTTGGTCTGTACATTGCTGAACGCACTGCCCGTTTTACAATGTACGCACGGTTGGCGAGACGCTCCTCCCCTTCCAGACAAGTCTCCATCTGCTACTCATCGTTGTCGAGGGCACTGAGATTCAGAGGTCCCAAGATCGCCGGAGGAACAGGTCCCACATGGTGACTCTCAACTTCCCCTGACAACGCCTCATCTTCCACATCACTTCCTCGAGGTCCCACATTGGCAGCGCCCTCTTCATCCTGGTCATGGTTGCGACGTCGCCCTCCCCTGCCAACATCCATAAGGGACGACACATCCCCATCCTCACGTGGTTGCCTGCCAGGAGGGCTGCGGGACCTTGTACGCCGCGACCCGGACGATCCACCACTGCGTTGAGCTTGCACAAGGCGGTCAGGACGAGCACTAATCAAGCCATACTCGAACACCTTCGCCATGAGCTCCGTAAGCTCATCTGTCCATGCAGAGGTTTAGGGTTTAGGGTTCAGGCTTGATCCATTCCAGCATGTAAGTTATTGTGGGCTTCTAAGGAGGTTTTGTCATTGACCATGCAGACCACGTTGTAAGCCCTTTCTTGTGCGGCCCCTCAGGTCATAGTTATAAACATACCTTCATTCAGATGTTATTACAAACATACCTACCTACCTGCCTACCTGACTACCTGCCTACCTACCTATGTCCTACCTATCTATCTGGCCCCTTGTTTCGTAATGTACTGGTTTGAAAACCACATACCCTTTTTGCAGCTTACTGATGTGAAACTTAGACAGCTCAGTTCGCCAGTTCTGTCAACTGCAAGTAGCTCTCGCACTCCTGCGAAGCCAATCCGTGGCCCTACAGCGAATCCCTTCTCCCTGAAACCAGCCTCTACCCAATAGGTGAACCACTAAACAGCAACCCACCGAAAGTCTGTTCCTCCTCCCGAAACCCGGCAGGTCCTTTTCGTCTTCCTGTCCCTGCTGGACGATAGCTCCGATGCTCTCCGTCCCCTCCTCGGCGGTGTGTCCAGCCTGGCGACGTAAGCTTCCCAGGCTTTTCTGCAGGGCTTCACGAGCATTTCTCGGTCTTCCACACCGGACGGGTATCCTTCGCGCTTTGAGGTCAAACCTTCAAGCCGCAGTTACCGATCATGCGCGAAAGCTACGAGGGCAACCCTACCATTTGGTAGCGTGCAGGTCCTGGCACTTCCAGTTTCAGGGCATGGAGGCTTGCAGGGTTTCCGGTTTCAGCCGATTCCTTCGTCCAGAGGCATGAACGGTCAACAGCAACGAGGACCCATGCGGTTTAGTGAGGGCTCAGGAGTTCCAGCTTAGGGCTCAGGAGTTCCAGCTTATGGCTTTTTGAGGTCGGGGAGGTTTGGGCTGAGGCAGAAATCGCGTCAACGGCTAGTATACGGGAGCTTCCGAAAATAAGGGGTACCTTACTTGGGGGTCCTTATAATAAGGATCCTACTATTTAGGGTCCTATATTAGGGTCCCCTATTTTCGGAAACTCCCATACAAGGGACTCAATGATTAGAACAGGGTGTTAGGACTATAGTGCTGCCAGTGGAGATTATTGATGACATCTTGCAAGCATGCTTACCGCTCCGAGCTGCCTTTCATGAAGACCACACGCATCCATCAATGAGCACTGAACTCAACTTGCCCTTTAACCCTAAACTGTAAACCTTAGAAGCTGCCCCCACGCTGTAATAGTGACTACAAGGATTATATAACGGCCCGATTATATTCCTATTATACCACTATTACAGGGTGGGGGCCCTTTCTAATGTAAATCCTATATAAACCCACAAACCTAAACCCTAAACCATTCAGTATTTCCCCTATTACACTCCTGGCTTTACTGAGACTGCTTGCCTGCTCCAGGACAGCTTGAAATGCCCGCCACAAGATCAGCCTTATTCTCCGCAAGCTTTCTATGGTTTAGGGTTTAGGGGGTCTGATCTCACTGATGTGTGTGTGTGTTGCGCCTCTCTGTGAACTTTTGCTAGGCCTTCGGTATATTGACTGTTTGAGCTCGTGGCGTTAATTGGCTCTTCGACCTCCCTAAACCTGATCCCTGAACCTTAACGTCTCCCCGACGGCCTAAACCCTAAACCCTCAAAAACCTAACCCGAATAACGCTAAACATCACGAATCTCTAACAACCCTAAACCTCAAAACTCGGAACCGGAACAACCCTAAACCCTCGACAGCCAAAACCCTGGTTATAAACTCCGATTTCGTAAACCCGAACAAGTCCAAAAAAATCGAAAACCTGACCCGCCCTTGCCCTAAGGCTTTGAGGATTCGCTTGGCAAGGGCTTCTGGCCACGAAGACCCGACTATGCAAGGCTGTTGGGTTGGTTTGAAGGAGACTGAGACTGGGTTGTAGTTTTGGCGGTCTGAAAAGTATTTATGAACAGGTACCTCTATGGGAACCATAAGGGAAATTAAAAGTTTCCCAAATTGCCACCTAGGAGAGACTTGAGGCGATCGGTTTTGGCGCGAAAGCCTCGAAGCTGAGGTTTAGGGGTCTTAAGGCCACCTACATGTTTGGTTGTTGAGTCCTTGAAGGTGCTTTTTCATGTGGGTTCAGTTTCCGAAACCCCTCAAGTTCGAGGGAGCCAGATGGGAATTGGGACTTGGTTAGGGCTTTTTGCGGCGTCGACATCCTCAGCATAGTAATCAGAGACCAGCATTTCGGATTTTGGACTCTCTTGCCGCCCTTCACTCTGCCAAATTCTCTGCCTCAAACGGTTTAGTCCGAACCAAGACTCATGCAGGTGTCCCTCAGTCTGCACCTTCCCTGTTTAGGGTTCAGGGCTTGTGGTTTTGGAACCCTCAGCTCCAGATCCGGCCCAGCGGCAACGCTTCGTTGGAGTTGCGCGCGCGGCTGGAAGCCTTCTGTTCGCTTTGCCAGGGACGTCTACTGTCGCTGCTGCTGCTCCCTAACTTGACCAACAGTGCTGCTGGCTTTCCTACCATTGTGATTGCTGTTGTCATCATGAATACCTGTAGTGTATGGCTTTGTGGCCTTCAACACCATCACATTTGTCATTGTGGCTTGAGGTCACGTGAGCTTTCTGCTCCTCCTTCAGCTGAAAGCCCCCGCCTCCCTTCGCTCGCGGGGGGATTCAGGTCCCTTTCGCCCAGCCATCCGGGCTACGAAGGGTCTTCATGCTTAGCTAACCAATGGTTTTGGGGTTCCCTTGGCTCTTTAGCTCCTTATTAAGTAGGGATTATCATCACCCCTGGCTCATTGGCTCCTCCAATATCTATCAATGGTTAGTCAGGGAGTCGGCCGCACTATCTGCGTTTAGTACTGGCTCTGGTCCCCATACACCTCAAAATCTCAGGACCGAACGGATTGAATGACTAGAATAAGGTTTGGAGATATTTAATTGCAAAACTATGAACTAGCTCCAGTGGCATACCATTACTCCTTCTGCAAAACCATGTTATGCCTCCTCTCGCCTCGGCTTGGGGCTTCCGAGGTTTGTCGACGGTTTCTTCTCCTCTCCCTAAGTCAGGTTTTGCAAATACTTTTGGGGGGTTCTGCAGCCTTAAACCCTACACCCCACCGTACGCTCGACGCCCTGCTAAGTTCTAGGATGGTTTAAGTCTTGGGTGGTTGTCAGGATCCCTTTTTGGGTCCCTAATATAATACGGCACCTAATATTTAGGGTACCCAAAAAAGAAAAAAATTAATTTTGACAACTACCCACTTAAGTCTAGGGAGTCTAGGGCCTTAGGGCCTTAGGTGGCAAGAACCGCACCCGGGCCGTACCGGGCCTCTTGGAGAACAGCGTGGAGGCCCTGGGAGTACACGAACATCGCCCGGTAGACGCGTTCTTGCGCCTGTGAAAGGTCGCTGGGTTTAGTGTACTTAAGGGCTCCTTTTTAAAGAGGTCCATAAGGGATCTATAGTAGGGTTCTCTAATACAGGGGCCTTGATAGCTAGAAGAGGGGTTTGGGGACTGTTATACTATAATTATAAGGTTAGTAGGGGCTTGGGGTTCTGGAGTCTAAGCTTTGATGCCACACGGTCGCCAGACAGGCCAACAAGAAGAGAAGGCTTGGTTGAGGCTTCGATGTCCCAGTTTCACTCTGCAAGAAACGGCCTGCTGCTTGTATGAACATGTTGCGAGTGTGCACCCTAGCTGGACGTACGAGTACACGCCTGGCCCAGCCAAGTTCCGGAATGTACGCCTGAAAGCATACTCATTTCAGCTCCCTCTATTTTCTCAGACTCCTTTTTCCAAAAAACCAAGAAGCCGCACAGAGGCCCGATCCGACCTGATCATAAACTGTAAACCCTCCGTGCTTAGCAGCCAAAGTGGGTTTGCCGAGATGAGCCCAGCAACACAGAAGTCCCGAAGCCCAACGCTCCACGAGCCTGAACCTAAACCTTAAACCCCTCAAAACCCGAAAACCACAAACACAATTAAAAACGCCAAAACCCTAAAACCCTAAACACGCAAAAACTTTAATGAACAGCATATTACTTAAGCCGAAACTAACCCTAAACCCTAAACCCTAAAGTGTCTCTCTCCGACACTGCCTTCTGATCGATGCCTAGCTTCGCCAGAGCGGCTGTGTCGATGCCGAACTCGGACATGCCCTGGGGGGACTAGGTTTCTAAACCCTAAATCCCTAAACCCTAAACCCTAAATCCCTAAACCCTAAACCCTAAACCCTAAACCCTAAACCGTAAACACCGGCTGAAGGGTGGAGGGATTAGGTTTCTGGAGGTGTTCTTCTCGAGGTCCTAGGACATTTGCACTGTTGCTGCTGCGATATTACTACGATTGTCGTTCTTGTCCCAATCGGAGAGAGGTCCCCCAGTGATCCCGGGCACAAGGGCGCAAGGGCACAAGGGCACAAGGGCACGGCAAGGGCACGGCAAGGGCACGGCAAGGGCACCACAAGGGCACGGCAAGGGCACAAGGGCACAAGGGCACAAGGGCACAAGGGCACAAGGGCACAAGGGCACAAGGGCACAGGGGCACAAGGGCACAAGGGCACAAGGGCACAAGGGCACAAGGGCATGAGGGCATACGGGCACAAGGGCACAAGAGCGCGAATGCACATAGACATATATACAA